GGGTTGCCACATCTCCCAGGGCCTGCCTGGGGCCCTGGAACCGGCTGGGCTTCTCTCCCTCCCCCGTCTGTCCCATCTCCCCCCGCACTCCTGTGTGCTGCCTCCGCTTTCACAGACGACGGGCCTTTAAAATAACTGGCAGGGCCCTATCCGAGCAGCATACGAAGCTTGGAGAGGACATTCGGGGCCTGGGGAGGGGAGGCGGGAGGCAGAGCGGAGGTCAAGGGTCTCGCCGGGAAGAGCAGGACTCTCAAGAGGTTCCGGGAGTTGCTCTTGACTTGGGCAGGGGAGGGGAGGACACAGGTGCTGGGTGCTGGGCTCCTTCCTCATGCCTGTTTCAGGCATGTTTCCCAACTGCCTGAGGGGCAGGGTCTGTGCTTATAAAGCCCTTGGGGTCCCTTGGCAAGGCAGGAGGAATCCGAGGTCAGACAGGGGCCAGCCTTGGTGGAACAGTCTTGATGGGGGATGTTGGGGAGGCCTGTCTAGAGACAAGCACAGAGTCTGGGGTGGCAGGTCCCATCCCAGTCAGACTTGGGCCGCATGTTAATATCTGGGGGACCTCGTCATTACCACCTAGGGGCCCAGTCCAGGGATTGTTCTGATTCTGTGCAGACTGCCGGGTCATAAGAGGCTGCGGTGTGACCTCCACCAAGTCCTTGTCCTCCTGTTCCCCAGTGTCCCCTTCTCTCCAGGGAGGGGTGGGAGAGGACATCCAGGCAACCATTCTGGACTCCTTGTGCCTTCCTGTCCCTGGCAAGGGGAAGCACAGGGTCTGGACTGGTCTCCAGGTGGCTGGTGTCCCCCCGCAGTGGAACCTTTGGTGTGAAGATGGCTGGAAGGTCCCACTGGTACAGACAAGCCACCTCCTGGGCCAGCTGCTGGGTTGTGTCATCCTGGGCACAGGATGTGACCGGTAAGACTCCCTACTGCCCTCCGCGCTCCCCTCTCCCAGCCCTCATGGTGGCCTGTGGCCTTCAGAGTTCAGCTAGGTCCTGTGCCTAGGTGAGACTCCTGGGCTCTCCTGACCCGGGCCATATTTTCCCCCTACTCACAGGTTTGGCCGCCGGGCTGTTTTTGTGGCCTCCCTGGTGCTGTCCATGGGTCTGGGGGCCATTGAGGCCTTGACTGCCAGCTTCCCAGCCCTGCTGGTCCTGGGATTCCTCCACAGCGGAGCCTTGGCAGGAGCCTTCCTGACCCTATTCGTGGCTCGTGAGTACCGTGGGGGCTGCCAGGGCTGTGGGAGGGGCAGCTGAAGCCTCTCAGGCACGCTACTGGGGCCCTTCTCTGGAAGGCCAGGTGCACTGTTTGCTGTGAGCTTGCTGCCTGCAGGTAGGCCCAAGCTGAGGGAAAGCGGGTCATCCTTGGACGTCCCTCTCCTGAGTGTGTCAGCAGTGGGTCCCACAGCTCCAGGGAGAGCAGCTGTCCTGAGGCTTCGGCCTCAGTCCACCTGTGTCCACCCCAGGCCTGGAGCTGTGCGACCCTTCACACCGCCTGGCCTTCTCCATGGGGGCTGACCTCTTCTCAGTGGCGGGCGGCCTGCTGCTGCCCGGCCTGGCTGTGCTCATGCAGGACTGGCACCTTCTGCAGGGGCTGAGCGCCCTGGTGACTGGGCTCTTGCTGCTCTTCTGGGGGTAAGTGCGGCAGGAGCAGGGCAGGACCCCTGCTGTGGGGCCAAGTGTGTAGCTTCCCTTGGCTCCTCCCTTCCACCCTGGACACGGCCATGGAATGGGGTCACAGAAAGCCACAGTGGTGTCCTGCCCTCTGGTCTGGAAAAAGGCTGGCCTTGCCTCTCTGGGAGAAGTGCAGAGCTGTGAGCATTCTCATCAACCCTGCAGGTTCCCAGCCCTGTTCCCTGAGTCTCCCTGCTGGCTGCTGGCCACAGGGCAGGTGGCCCAAGCCAGGAAGATCCTGTGGCACTTTGCAGAGGCCAGTGGTGTAGACCCCGAGGACAGCTCAGAGGAGGAGAACTCCTTGGCTTCAGGTTGGTAGCAGCAAGGAGGAGGGTCTCTGGAGGAGGACCTAGGAGACCATTGCCCCTCCCCCCTGTCCCCTGTATCCCTGCCGCCACAGAGCTCGCCATGTTGCCTGCAGGGAGTCCCCAGCCCCAGTTCCACTCCCTCCTGGGGCTCCTGCACACCCGTGTCGCTTGGAGAAATGGGCTTGTCCTCAGCTTCAGCTCGTGAGAGGGGAAGGGCAGGGGTGGGCTGGCAGGTCTGTCTCCCTGGAGATGGGCTGGGGTCCCCAGGGTCTCCCAGCTCTGGCTGGGTCCACAGCTTTGTCCTCCCTCCCAGGCTGATTGGTGGGGGCATCAGGGCCAGCTTCCTGCGCAGCCTGACCCCTCAGGAGCTGACCTTCTACCTGCCCGACTTTCTGGAGGCAGTGGTCACGGTGTTCCTGCTCCTGACGGTGGATCGCTGTGGACGCCGCCCCATCCTGCTGCTGGGCACCATGGTCACAGGCCTGGCATCCCTGGGGCTCCTCGCTGGGGCCCAGTGTAAGCCTGGGGCCCCGAAGGACACACAGGGGCCATTGTGTTTGAGTTGAGGGTCTGTCTGGTGTGGGTGTCAGGATCAGACCCCTCCCTTAGCCATAGGGGGAGGTAGTGCGAGAGGCAGGGTCCTCAGGACCAGCCTGTAGCTCCTTTTACTCTGTCCATCTTTCATACACACTCTGGGAAACAGGCCTAAAAGAATCTATGACAGGGCTACAGGAAGGGTCCTGCCTGGGCCCAGAACACCTGCCCCACCCTCAGAATGCAGCACAGGGTGAGAGGTCAAAAGCTCGGGGTGAGCTTTTCCCCGGGGCTGTAGGTGGCCACATGGCTACAGGCTGGGGAGAGGGCCATCCACACATGGCTGGCCACGTGGTGTGTGGGGCCTGGTGCAAAGTGAAACACGGACCTTTAGAGTCAAAAGTATTCAAGATTTCAGGACAGTTCTCCAACTGAAAACAAGGTGGGCAACAGAACCATGGCTGAGTTCAGGCCAGACAGAAGTTGTCATGGACTGGGCCTCAGGGCCAGGACGCACTTCCTTAGAATCCCAGTCAGGCCACCATCAGGTTCGGGGCATGGGGTCCCCAGTGGGAATGGGGGGCTTGTAAGTCTGTGCCCAGATGGGGGAGGGTGGAAGGTGAGTAGAAGAGCCTGTCCTTTGTCCCCAGACCTGCCAGGCTGGACCACGCAGTCCCTCTCTGTCCTGGGGCTCCTAGCTTCCCAGGCCGTGTCTTCGCTCAGCAGCCTCTTTGCAGCTGAGGTCTTTCCCACAGTGACCAGGTGAGTGTAAGGACTGCCCGGCCACACAACAGGCCTAGGCCCTATGGGGAGGAGGGTTGGTGGACTGTAAGCCCTGTGCCCACACCCCACTCTTCCCAGGCCATGGGGTCCTGGCAGACAGCTCATGCCAGGCAGGCCTGAGTGGGGACAAGATGAGGAAGCTTCCAGGTGGCAGAATTTGAGGAGAAATTCATTCTAAAGAGAACAAAATCATTCCGGGGCAGGAAAGATTTTCTCTTTTTTTTTGAGTCAGAGTTTCACTCTGCTGCCCAGAGTGACACAATCATGGCTCACCACAGCTTCAACCTCCTGGGCTCAAGCAATCCCTCCATCTCAGCCTTCCAAAGTGCTGAGAGCCACAGCTCCTGGTCTAGGTTTTTTAACTCAAGTTTTCAAGCTGTTTTAATCAGTTATGGCACCTTTGGCACCACTAAGGCTGGCCTCCCCCTCCCCACCCACTCCAGGTTCTGCCCACAGTCACCAATACTAGGAATCACACTCATATCTGACACCCACCACACTCTCTCTCACAGAGGAGCCGGGCTGGGCCTTGTGCTGGGGGCCGGCTTCCTGGGCCAGGCAGCCGGCCCCCTGGACGCCATGCACGGCCGGCGGGGCTTCTTCCTGCAGCATGTGATCTTCACCTCCCTCGCCATCCTGGCCCTGCTCTGTGTCCTGCTGCTGCCTGAGACCCGGGGCCGGGGGCTGCCACCGTCCCTACAGGACGCTGACTGCCTGCGCCGTTCCCCACTCCTGCGTGGCTGCCCCCACCAGGACCATCTGCCCCTGCTGCAACCTGCCCAGCCCTGGTGGGCTGGCCATGGCCCCGAGCAGCCCTAGTCCTGCCTGGTAGCCCTGAGAGCCAGGACGGGGATATCCCAGTCAAGGGCCAGGGCACCATGGAGTACCTGAGACAACGGTCCGGGGTGACCACAGTCAGACAGACACCCCCCCCAGCAGCCCATATCTCAGTGCAGGAGGATAACATGAATGTGTCCCCACCAGGCCCCCGTCACACCCAGGTCTGGAGATAAAGGCTTTGTGGAACTCAGTGTTCTCCCGGCTCTTCCCTCAGGCTGTGCCACACCCCACCTGGGCTTCCAGCCTGAAACCTGGTGCCAGAGGGCCCTCCAGCACCCCCACCCTTGAGGGGCAGTCCAGGGCTGCTGACAGCTCCAGCTAGCAGGATGGGGTGGGGGCCCAGCCCCGAGCTCCCTGCCAGCAGCGCCTAACTGGTCTAAGCCTTTTCTGGGGTACAGGGGCCAGGTTCCCCTCACAGTCCCGCATCAGAGAGACCAGCACGCTTTCCATTCAGATTTACCCAGAAGGCTGTACAAAGATGAGGTCTGTGGGTAGGAGGCAAGGTGGTGGTGGTGGGGGGGTCCATGACCCTCATGGAGGTAACAGAGCAGCTCTCCCAGCCTGGCAGGAAGGCGCTCATCATGGCTGCCCCCTCCATGCTCAGGGCTCCATGCCCACACCTGGGCCCTTGCCTGGGAGCACACAGCTGCCCTGTGCTGTGGGGTGGGGTCCGGGGCCCTCAGACTGCTTCTGCACAGGTTTTCTTTGCCACAGCAGGGACAGGTATGTCTGGTCAGGTCCCCCCAGCAGGCCGTCTGCTGTATTGGGTAGGCGCCCCCAAGAAAAAGCCCCTTCTCTGGCTGATGCTGCCTCCAGACAGCAAGTCTGGCCCCTAGCTTGACCCTTATGGGGGCCCGTACATGTCCGCCAGCCGAGCGAAGCGGGGGCCCCAGTCCCGGAGGTAGTTGTAGTCCTGGTCCTCGTCGCCCAGGCTGGACAGGATGGAGCTGAGTGTCCCTGCCACTGAGCCATCCCCCTCATAGTCGTAGATGAGGGCTGTGTCATAAGGCGGCACGCTAGGGTCACCGTCCGCAGCCTCCAGACCCTGCAGAGAGCCCCCAAAAGTCAGTACCATGTAGACTGGCAGGCGTTCCCAGCTTCCTGGCCACAGTCCAGGGTGAGGGAGCTCTGGCTCAGGAAGGGAAAGCACCCACAGAGCGGGGGAGGAGATGGTCGGGGAGCCAGGGCATCCCTAATTGTGAGGCACCAGCTGAGAAAGGTCAGCTTCTGCACCCTTGCCTGGGTCAGGATGGCGGCCAGCCCCGCCCCAGGATGCTGCCTCATGGGAAACAGCGGTGCTGTTATGCCCAGTCTCTTGGTCTTGGTGGCCCTGCACCAAAGCCAGATCCCAGGCCCCAATTCCCCAATACTCCAACAGGAGCAGCAGGGCGACCTCGAGGTTTGTCACCTCCACCCTCCCAGGCTGTGGGACAGTCTGCTAACCAGGCCCTGCGTCTCCAAGCCAGGGCCACATAGGCAGGCAGGTGTCATGGAAAGTGACATGTGGCCCCTGCCCAGCTGCCCACCCAGATGAACTTCTGAGCTCATGTCTACGGTGAGGAAACGGAGCCACCCACGCGGCGTCCACATGGGCTTCTGAGGGTCAAGAAGCCCTGGGCCTGCTCCAACCGCGCCTGTTGTGGTGGACACCAACAGTGCGTAGGCTGTGGCCACTCCCACTTGACTGGTGCAAACACTTGCTTCATCGCCAAGTTCTGACCAGGTGTCCACCTCCCACCAACCGCACACGGAGCCTCCTCGCAGGTGCCCAGCATGATCCCTCCCCTGATAGCAGCACTGAGGTCAGAGACCACAGCCTGACACACACCACCAAGACTCTCTGGGGAGCTTGGTGTGGGCGTGCCTGTGTGCATATGTGTCCATGTCCATGCACTATGTGCCTGTGTGTACCTGTGACTACTCCTGTGCCTATGCATGTGTGCACGTGTGCAAGTATGTGTGTGCACCTGCGTATACATGCGTCCCTGTGTGTCCCCAGGAGCACCCACCTCATTGATGAAATCAGCGATGTCCGTGGGACTGGCGGGCAGCGCACGGGCTGCATGGGGGGGCGCGCGGCCGTAAGGGGCGTCGCGGCGGAGAGGGGCCCGTCCCGGGGGCGCGCTCAGAGCCGTGAGCTCCGCGGGGCGGCGCAGCTGGCTGATATCGTAGGCGTCCTGCAGGCCGGAAGGCGCCGCCCTAGTCACCCGATGGCCCAGGCGGGACCCCAAGGAGGGCCTGTGGGGGGGCTCCTGGGACCCTGCCCGGGCCCAGCGCTTCCAGTCCTGCCCACTTCCTCCCGGCTTCACCCTGGGGAGCCCCGGCCGCACCTGGTCCTCTTCCCCGCCTCCCTGCTCGTCGTAGTTGAGGATGTTGTCTCGAAGGTCGTTCTGAAGCCCGTGCAGCAGCCCCTTGTCCCCCGACGGCGGCCGGCACCGCGCGCGGAGCGCCACGAGCAGGACCAGCACTGGGGGAGGGGAGCGAGGCTGGGGCCACCGCGGGCGGGACCTAGGGGACGGCCTCAGCGGGGAGGAGCGGGAGGCCAGACGGGTCCCAAGGCTCGGGACAGGACTGGCCAAAGGTGGGCGGGGTGCGGGGCTGGGCCCCCGGGTGGAGGAGGCGAGACGAAGTCGGAGAAAGGAGAC